AATAATAACAATAATGATGATGACGATGATGATGATGATGTAACCATGAAAAACTATGCCATAAAAAGGGGCTGGGGAGGGGTGGGGAGGGGTTAGATGTGCATACTCTTAACCCATTTTCCACACTCACCCACTCCGAGACAACAAAACAAATTAAAAACCAAACAAAAGACAATGAATGGGGGATACCCAAGGGGAAACGAGAACCTCTGAGAGGCCCAACCAGAGAGAGAGAGAGAGAGAGAGAGAGAGAGAGAGAGAGAGGCTAGAAGAAAAACTAGTGGCAGGGAGGGGGAGGGGGGGACCTGGGAGCTGCATAAATGAATCTAATAACTGCCTTTGTTTGTTGCCACCGCTCTCGAGCCCCTTCTGCCATTCTGCCCTTATGCCCCACTGCCCCTACCCCACCCCCCCCCCCCTTGCAATCACCTTGCACCTCTTCATTCTTATCGCCAGCTGTTCCGTTCCGTTCTGTTTTGTTGTTTTTCTGCGTTGCCTCCCAAGTTCTGTTTTAGTTTTCAAGGAGCAGCCCCCCGGCCTCCCCACCCCCTCCCACCTCATACTCCTTATAGCATGACAAGTGGCGTCAATGGGTTTTGTTTTTTCTTTTTTCTAATTTTCTACTGATAAGGCGCCCCCTGCCCCTTCCCCTTCGGGGGGCCCACACTCGATGGATGTCCACTATTTGTTTTCCAGCCAATTCCTTATCAGCGTAGCGCTCAGAAAAGTGTTCGAGAAATCGAATGTCCATTAAATAGAAGGCAAAAGTGTTTCGATTATAATGAAATGAATGAATTTTTGTCCCAGAAATTTCCCAGAAATTCGATAGCAAAGTCGCTCATTCTTTTGTATCTCCTGTTTCCACTCCTTCCAGTTCATATACGATATAAGTATATTTTGTACAGTGAAATCTATGGCATATACCTGCCCGTAAATAACGCCACACGTAAACAGAAAATAAAAGAGAATATTTCAATTTTCATTGTGGCACTGTTTTTCCATGTTCAATTCTATTTTATTTGCTCATAAATTCTGAATGAAAATTGCCTGCTGGCAGACAGCAAAAGCAACAGAACCCGACTATGGGGACGTTTGTATCTCACAGATACACACACTCCGCAACGAATGGGCGAGAGCTGTGAAGTACTAGACCTTTCGATACTCTCTACTTTCGGGCAAAGGGTTCTCAAGCAAGCTTCCCCTCAGAGATACACCCTAAACCCGTATACCCCGACCCACGAGAACCGGGGCGAAAACTGTGGAGCGAGAAGCGAAAATAAGTAAATAAACAGCGACTACAATTCGAAAGCAAAAACGACGAAAATAATTGCACAAATGAAACAAAAAGACTATTAAAACGAGCACAAAAACAAAAAAAAACACACCACTCGAGAGAGAGGGACGGGGAGGGCGTACGGTCGGGTGACGAGTCGAAGCCGAGAGACAGCGAGACGGACGATGCGACGTGTCTGTGTGTGTGTGTGTGTGTGTGTGCGTTAGCTTTATATTTAAATGATTTTGCTCGCAGTTTGCCTTCGTTTTGCCGGTGATGCCCCACGCCCCGCCCCGCCCCGCCTGTGGATCTCTCGATGGGGATCTGGGCTCTGTCTGACTGAATGTTGTCTCAATTTGAATGCCTGCATTCGCTGAATGCCGCCCGCCACTCCCCTAACGTTTTCAGAGAGGTAGAGAGGGGAGGGCTGATGCGAAAACCCGTTTGCAAAAAACAAAAAAAAAACCATCAAAAAACTCAACGAAAAAGTTAACAAAAACAGACAACAAAACTCACATTTAATTTATTCTCGATGCGTAAGAGAAAACAAAAACAAAAATAAAATTTGACTCTTGTATCGGACCTCTCTTTCATCTGTCGCTGTCCCTGTCGCTCTTCTCATTTGCATTGCTCATACGACGCGTTGCCCAAGCCTTTTCCTGGCTAGTGAAAATCTCTGTTAACCCTAGAGCTGCTGAGCGATGGGAAACTGGAGAGCCAGATAACACATTTGTCTTATTGAAACTCTTGGGAAACTCTCGAGAGCTCGTTTCCATAATTGTTTTCTTTGCTTTTCTCCGGCTGCTTCCTTCCTTCCTTCCTTTAATTGCGAGCATTGTCTGCTCTTCGCCAGCGTTTTCTTGGGTTGTGGCGCGTGCGTGTTTGGCAAACCCCCGGTTTTGAGGGCACTGTTACAAGGCTGAGATCCCCCCGCAGCCCCCCGTTGCCCCCGCGCTGTGCTCGCAGCCCGAAATTGGCCAGACAACGTCGTCAGATTCACAAACGATGGCGTTGCCAGCTGCATTCTTGCTGTCGTTGTCGTGTCGTGGAGCCAGAGCTGCTTTACTTGGCTTTGGCTTTGGCTTCGGCTTCGGCTTACGGTCTAGGCGCTGCTGCTGCTTATTGGAGCAAGTCGAGTCTCTGAGCGTGTGCGTGTCTGCAGCGAACAAAGTCTCAGAACAAGTTTTGGGGCCGCCGCGACATCCAACTGTGACCTGAACTTTGGCACCGAACGATGTTGTGCTCCAAATACACAGCACAACCAATGAGATAATCAGCCGAAGAAGAACGAATCTACTTGAGAATAGTACCATTAAAATCTCAAAAATAAGAGAAATTTCTACTCGAAACATAGGCGCATAGTTCCTAAATAAAGGAAAGGGTACACACATGTCTAGTGGCAGGCCTCCCACTCACCCTAGGGCCCCCACGCTCTCTCCGCATTGATAAACAATCAGAAAATCCATGGAATAGATTTCGTTTAAGGTAAATAAGTATGGCTAATGCCCAAATGCCTAATGCCCAAATACTGGTGCTTAGTACCCATGACTACGAACGAAATCGTAATTGACTTGGCCCAAAACAAATGATTGATGGCCGTCGGTCGGCTTCAGCAGAGAGCGACTTCAAGCGACAGAAAAGAGCAACAAAAGCAAACATCGATTATTGTATAATTGGTGCCAATAAAATTCGTAGACGAGACACAAATGTCACATGGAAATGCACGACTCGTACAGGGTATAAATAAAGCGAAAGCGCTAGAGAACACACATGGAGGGGAGTGGTTGGGAGGGGAGGGGAGGGGATCGGCTGGGATGGCAGATACATTTTGTGCGAGGCTTGGCTAAAGGTCAGCCAAAGGTCATGGTCAGTCAATAATTTGATCTTTCAAGAATTTCAAAGTTTTTCTCCGTTTAGTTTTTCACTTTTCCACAGAAAATTCCCAACGAATTTTATGCGGCATTTGCACGCATTTTTCGCTCTTGAAATATTGGAGGGACATAAAATATTGTAATTTATTAATTACGAGCAGAAAGAACAGTAGTTTCTGTATTTAATGGCCAGCGGGCACGCAAAAGTCGACAAATGAAAAAGTATTCATAATATTTCATGTTCAAAGTTTTCGGTTTCTGGTTTCTGCCTTCGCAGGGTATACCCCTAGAAATGGGTCAATTGTGGATATTCCCTAGAAGAATAAGAGAGTAATTTGCTAAAACTTTCCCAGGAATACAATAAAATAAATTAGAAACAAAGAAAGACATAAATAGAGGTGTTTCCCATCATTGCGAGCGCATTCCATGTCAAAAAAAAGAAATACAATTATCAGTTATCAGTATTCTGTCGGCTGTTTGTCATTCCAGAGGATAAGGCCCTCTTTTGAATGACGTATAGCCCTTGTAGAGCTGTTACTAGCCCTAGGGGTACGTATCTTTATCTGTGGGTGCCAGGAAATAGGAATACCAAGAAAAATGTGGAATACATCACGTATGTAGATCGGGGGGCATGTACACATCGTATGTACCCCAACGAGAGACGAGTCATCCACGGAATACTTATACAGTACAAGTTCGAGGGAATCTAATTAAAAAAGTACATATTCCATGTCGATCCATGTTTTGCGCAAAAAACAAACAAATGTCTGAGGAATGCCTCTGGGAAACTCTCGAGAACGCACTTTAACTGAGAGCAAAGCAATCAATCAATCAATCAGACTGATGCTCGTCCGTCCCATCAATCACATGCGGAAAACATCACACAACAAACAGGCAGCCAGCAAAAAAAAAAAAAAAGAACAGAACAAATGGGGAGAGGAGAATTACCCTTGGGCTTGCTCAAATGAAACCCCATTACGAAAAAAAAGGTTAATACAGTATTATTTATAGTCAATAGATTAACATTCAATTATGCAATGTGTGTGGAAAAGTGAGTGGAATGGGAACGGGAGTCATGCTTAATAATAGAAACAATAGATTAACATTAGAGCATATACGAGTATGAATGAAGCAGTGGGGAAATAATAAATCAAGGATAAAAATATAGATTTGTACAATGAAACAATAAATGGGTACAGACATAAATGGAGAAAAGATGTGTTTAAATGGAGAGTGAGAAAAATAGGTTAAAAGCAAAAAGGTTATCCATTGAAGGAAACCTCAAAGCAGGCAAAATATACAGATATGTTGTAGGCGTATGAAATGATGCATAAAATATGGTATAAAGAACAGAATATACTATATATCACGGTGAAAGAAGGTGCTTGTAAAAATATATAAGGTGCTCAGGGGATTAGTAAGCGATTAATAAAGTTAGAAATCTGTTAAATATAATGGAAATTATACAAATATTATTCATTATTGGGTTGGGGTTAAGCATATTAGAGAAATCTTGCATATCTTGAATCTTGAGTCTTGGCTTTCTTCCTAAATTATTCTTATTCATATTTCTTTATTCCTGGGGGAGGTCTTTCATCTGTGAATCATACAATGGTGGGTTCTTCTGTTTACTATCTGCAAAGTTCTTTCCCTAGGAAATTCTTAAAAAAGTTTGTTCATCTGTGAATCATATACTAAATATACAACCTACATACATATGTATGTAAGGGGATTTTTCTTCTTCCTCAAGTTCTTTCCCTACAACTGATATCAGTCGGATCGAAAGGTTCTATTCAGCTGCTCATCGAGCCTTCGAGTCTATGGTTTATAGAAATAGTTATTGGCCGTGTACTCACATTTATGAAAATTGTAGTGAAAAATCCATTGTGGAGTAGATAGAGACGTTCGTGTTCTTGTTGTGTTGTGTTGTGTGGATAGATACGTGGCATGTGGATGGATATAGACATAGATATAGATACACCATATGTCCAGACGTACACGTAGACGAAGTAGATGTAGTTAGTAGTTGTTTTTGTTGTTGTTTGTTGCAGTTGCAGTTGCAAGTAGAAGTAGACATATAGACAAGACGACGACGACGACGACGACGACAACGACGGCGGCTACGGCTACGGCTACGGCTATGAGGACAGGGTCCGCTAGGCCGCAACAGCAACTCCAGGAGCAGGAGGCAAGTCCACCGGATCTGATTTGTCCTGCTGTTGTTGCAATTGTTGTTTTTGCTGCTGTTGTTGTTGTTGTGGCGGTTGCAAAAATATGGGTGGAGTGGAGGTGGAAAACTTGATCTAGAATTCAGCAAACTCCTTGGCGCACTTCTCGGTGCTGGAGATCCGCAGTGCCTCCTCCTCGTAGTCGTCGAAATTGCTTGTGTCGCCGGGCCCCTTACACCGGGGTATGAAGGGGGCCTCGATTTTCTTTTGGAAGATCGCAATCCAGTCGGTGGAGGCGAACCACTTCTGGTTCTTAATATCATTGACGCCCGCCTTCAGATTGCCATAGCGCTTGGTCAGGTCAACCTGCAGGAGGTTGCGCAGCAGGTCCTTCAGGTCGGACCCAAAGTGCGAGGGGAAGCGCACCTTGCCCGAGACGATCTTCTCGTAGATCTGAATGGGCTGGTCCGCGAAGAAGGGCGGATAGCCGGCGGCCATCTCGTAGACGAGGACGCCGAGCGCCCACCAGTCGACGGCCTTGTTGTAGCCCTTCGACAGGATGATCTCCGGCGCCAGATACTCGGGCGTGCCGCAGAGCGTCCAGGTGCGGCCCTTGACGCGCTTGGCGAACCCAAAGTCTGTGACCTTGAGGTACCCCTGCGAGTCGATCAGCAGATTCTCGGGCTTGAGGTCCCGGTAGATGAGGTCCAGGTAGTGCAGATACTCGAAGGCCAGCACGATCTGCGCCGCGTAGAAGCGCGAGTGGGGCTCCGAGAAGCGGCCCACCTTCCGCAGGTGGGAGAACATCTCGCCGCCGGGCACGTACTCGAGGACCATGTAGAGGTTGGAGTTGTCCTTGAAGTGGTAGCGCAGCGAGACGAGGAAGGGGAACTGGATGGCCTGCAGGATGCGCTTCTCGTTCAGCGTGTGCTCCACCTGCTTCAGCTTGACGACCTTCTGCTTGTCGAGGATCTTCATGGCGTAGTAGTCTTTCGTGGGCTTGTGCTGGACGATCATCACGCGGCCAAAGGAGCCCGTCCCGAGCGTCTTGATCCGCTCGAAGTCGTCGAGGGCAGCGGTATTGGTGGGGTTGCGGCGCCACTTGTCCTCGAACTCCTCCTTCGCCTGCTCGAGGAACTCCTTGACCGTCTCGGCGGCATCCACCTTCTTGTTGGACGTGGTCGCGTTGTTTCCCATCTTCGAGATTGTGCCCGTGAGCGATGAAAGGCGAAACGTGGCGCTGGCAGATACCTGTGGCTGTTCCTCACTGGCGGCTCCTGCTGCTCCTGCTTTTGCTGTTGCTCCGTCTGTCGTGGTCGCTGCTGCCGCTCCTCCTTCGGATGCTGCTGCTGCCGTTGGGGGCGTTGTCTTTTGGCTTGCGGCGGCGGCGCCTCCTCCTACTGCTCCTCCTGGCCCAGCCGAGCTGCTGCTGCTAGCCGCCTGCTCCGGTCCTCCTCCACCGCCGACGCCCTCCTCCTCGTAGCTGGACTGCTGCTGTAGCTTGCCCTCGCCCGATGTCGAACTATGATGGGATTTCTTCTTTTTTAAGAATTGCAAAATGGACTTAGCTATTTTGCCGACCTAAGGGACCACGGAGAGGAGAGGAAATTCTCGTTGCGTTGCTGTTTTGTCGCGCGCGTTGCTTTGCTTGACAAACGTTTGTTTGTCTCTTGTTTGTTGGTTTGCTTGAGTTTCAGTTTTAGACGCGTTTAAATTCTCGTATTGGTTCCTACACTTAGTTTACACTTAGATTAGCAGCTTAGATTAGCATTTGGTTTACACTTTAGATAAATTCCTAGTCGCGCGATTTGTATATGTATGAGAGAGATGGGGAGATGCTGCAAAAAAGAGAAGAGAGAGAAGAGGGCAAAAATTAGCATCTGATTTGCAAGAGAGACAGAGAGAGAAACAGTTGCGTTTTTTGGATTCTAGAGAGTATGTTCGCCATGTTTTCTTCTGCTTTCTGTTTCACTGTTTTTGCACTTTGTTTTCAGTCTGTGAGTTCTCTTTAATTTTGTTCTACCGCTATGTTGGCACTTTCTGTGGCTTTGTACGCACACGAGTTGAGCGGAGAGAGGGAGAGGGACGGGGAGAGTAACCACGATCGTGTCAAGTGTCAAACAGCTGATGGCTAGGCAGGGCACAGATAGTGCCTACTCACTCGCACTCACTCATTAATTCACTCACACACACTCACACTGGCAAACACCGAGTGTCACGCTGTTGCTGTGTATGCGTCTGTGTGTCTGCGCTTCTGGTTGAATATTTTACATCTTTGCTTTGGCATATTCGTGCATACTTTAAATTAGGTAAATTGCCTTTTATTGCACATTGTGCTAAATTTTTCGCCAGTCGCTCGAGTTTAAACAAACGCACACGCATATACACAGAAGGCAGTCACACACACCACTCACCAACACAGCCGTACACGTACACAGATTATCCAATCGATTTTTTTTACACATTCATTTCCTTTCTGCTTTTGTTTAATTTTGCTCGTCTGCTTAGGGGGAAATGGAATTTACCTTTTTGCAATTAGTTACTACGTTGCTAGCGATTTATAAACACATTTAGAAATATTGCATTAAATTAATTTCCCGATTTTTAGCACTCGGCTCTACCCGTATATTTTACTTTTTTTTTTTTTCGTTTTTAGCTTAGATTAAAAATACCCGTATTGCCGCCGAACCGATTGTTTTTTCTTTTTCACTCTCTTTCTGCTCTCTCGGCCTGGCTCTCCAAAGAAATACGTTATCCAAAATTGTACTTATTTAAAGTTTAATCTGTTTACGACGCGCGCACAACCACGCAGTTCAAAAATTGGGGCGACTTTGGGGCCGACTTTGTTTACTGTGACTTACTCAGCGGCAGTGTGACCGTCGATGAAATATACGGTGTGACCCTCATACTACATCATATTCGTCGATTTTGATATTCGGTTGGATATTACTAGCTAGCTAGGGCGCTCAGCCCCAAACATGTAGTTTTAGCCGATTGATGAATTAATTTTCTACGATATTCATTAATTTTAAGGGCTGTTTTTTATTAGATTGTGTCAAAAATTATGTTTAAAAAAAAAAGGTCAAAGCATAGAACGTAAGTGTTACGGAATGAAACGTAAGTTTTCAAGGGATGTTACGTCATTGTTGCTGGTAAAAGGTAAAACAGAGTAGGCTTTTGTATACTCTTTTAAATAATTAAATTATGTTACTTTTTTATTTCACAAGCCGATTTGAAACATTACTACTGACTTTTTCGTAGATTGAAATGTTCTAGAACTATTGATGCATATAATTTATCTTGTGAATATATATATCTCGATCCCGATACCCATTCTTGGTCTCTGATAGCAGACATTAAAAGCTCAATTTCGTTAAGGTAGCTGTAAAACAGAGATTGAACAGTTTCTGCATTCAATTTATTGGGGGACAAACATTTCCTCAATTCTATCATACCTTTTTCCTTAGGGTATGGAGGATGTTGCTATTTCCGTGCCATGTTGCGGGACACTTCTCGATTAATGTTGCTGGCGGCCAATACGCCCTATACGGAATGAAACGTAAGTGTTTATGGAGTGCAACGTAAGAGGTATGCAATGTGGGGCAATTGATGTGATAGGAATATTGGTGCGATGGAAAATCACTTCCAATAAATGCAATTTAAATTATTTTATATGCTTTTAAATTTAATAGATTATTAAAATTGATAATATACCAATTTACCGTAAATATACCTTAATCGAAATTTCGACGTCAAAATATACCGAACAGGCATAATATACCGTAAATGACAATAGGGGGAAAATCGAAAAATACCGGCAGTGTTGTCAATCAAACTTGAAGTGCAACTCTGCTATGCTATCCAATTATTTACCGGCTATGCTATCCAATTCAAATAAATTTAAACTTCGAAAAAAGCTATGGAAAATGATTAGTTCAATAGCAAGTTTATACTATATGATCTCGATTGATATTTTCCGTGCTTCTTTGTGTTCCCCGCGATCCCGTTAACTTATATGTTGAAACATTGCAATTGCGTGTTACTGTGTTCGGTCACAATGTTTGTTGTTTCCTAAGTAAAGAGTAAATATATTCCCAACTGCACAGTACAATATTCCAGTAAGTTGCTTCGCTTGCATCGAGAAAATCAAAGCGCATCATCGAGGGCAAGAAAATCAAGATCTACTTGGATTTTTTTTTCCGCGCTCAAGTTGCTCATATGTTTAAATAGAGGGGGGTAAAATGGGTTAAGATTGATTTTTCATCGGTATATTTGAAAATGAGCCGGTTTTTTTTATACATATTTCTGACGGTCGTGTGTTATATTTTATTCTATGCACGTGTTTTAAGGCGTATGTACATATTTTTATTATCGTTGCCATTCCTATATTTCCGAGGGTCGGCAACGAAAAAATGAGTCGTAATAATGAATGGGCTATGGAAACGTTTGGACAACAGGCAAAAACGGCGCGTTTTGAATTATGTAGCAAATGTGTAGTTACCGTGTCATCTTAGGCTCCGTAGGTATCAGGATCGAGATAAATATATACAATAATAATGCACATGAAATTATCGAAACAGGGTGTACAAAGGCCTATACACGCATCATGTTTTCAAATACCAGCAACATTGCGACTCTTTTATTTTTGAACTATTTTGTTTAGGCCTTGTTTTCGCCAAAATACAATAAAAGCAAGGACTAAAAACTAGCCAATCTTGAAGAAAATTTATTCATCAATGGCCTTAAATTATGTGGGCAGAACTAAGGGTTTTAGTTAGCCAGAATTATTCAACGGAATATAAAATTTGAACAATATGAAAGACTATCCTATTTTGTTTTTTAGTGTGACCTATTTCGGTAAATCCTTTTTTGCTTGAGCTATTTCGCTAAAACCTTTTTTTACGCAAAATGCAATAAAAGCAATTATGTAAAGCAAGGCAGTAAAATAGAAAATTTATCAATTAATAGTATAAAATTATGTGGGCATTGCTAAATGTTCTGTATAGATGGTAATAATCCCCGGAAGATGAAAAACTAGCAATATGGAATATGGGATACATCGTTTTTTAAACAGAGAGGAATTTCAGGTTATCGCTCCTATCGATATCGATACCACGTGCACGTGTTTTGAAGCGTTTTTATTAAAATTTATTTTTATTGTCGCCGCCACCATTTGCAGCCTCAGTGAAGCAACGAGCCGAGAGGTAGCATTTAACTTTGATTATATTCCAACCAAGAGCAACTAAAACATCAAAATGGTAAGAATGCTCAATCCGCGAATTGGTCAAGTGGAAATTAACATTTCACCACCCCTACAGACCGAGGAAGTCAACCCGAAAGCATTCCCCCTGGCGGATGCCCAACTGACGGCCAAGATAATGAATCTGCTGCAGCAGGCGCTTAACTACAACCAGCTGCGCAAGGGCGCCAACGAGGCCACCAAGACGCTGAACCGCGGTCTGGCCGACATCGTGGTACTGGCCGGCGACACGGAGCCCATCGAGATTCTGCTCCACTTGCCGCTGCTGTGCGAGGACAAGAACGTGCCGTATGTGTTTGTGCGCTCCAAGCAGGCGCTGGGCCGCGCCTGTGGCGTCTCCCGACCCATCGTCGCCTGCTCGGTGACCACCAACGAGGGCAGCCAGCTGAAGTCGCAGATCACGTCCATTCAGCAAGAGATTGAAAGGCTGTTAGTCTAGGTTTAAGCTAATGGTTAAGAAAACCATACGTACAAAGAATCCAATAAAAAAATAAATTTAAAAATCAAGCACATGTTTGGGCTATTTCAGTGTGACCCTATGCGGGAAACCGGAAATTCGGAGTCCGAAAATAGCAGGCAGTGGGTCGGTCAGCTGTTCCGAGCCGTTCGTTCCCTGTGAATGCCACTTGTCCGCCGAAACTTGGTCGACTGTGTGATTTTTTGGGAAATTGGTTGATCAAATGACAAAAATGCATCGCGATTCACGTGGCCCGAGGGAACATACAGCCAGATTGAAGTGACAAGCAGCTCCCCGTAGCAGCAAACGCAAAGCACGTAGTGCCTACAACAAAAAGAAAAGCAAACCCTCCCTGACGCAGGGAATTGGGACTAGGATCAGGAGTCGCCGGGCGTAACGATATGAAACTGCTGGGAAAATACGTGGACAAGGGCATGCAGGGGTGAGTGCTCCGTTCCCCACAGAATTCTATAATTCCGTCTCTTCTTGTAGCAATGTGACCCTCATGCCCGAGGAGTCCGAGGACATGTGGCACGCGTACAACTTGATAGCGGAGGGCGACAGCGTCCGCAGCACCACCATCAGAAAGGTGCAGAACGAGACGGCCACCGGCTCCTCGACCAGCAGTCGGGTGCGCACCACCCTCACCATCGCCGTGGAGACGATCGACTTCGACACCCAGGCCTGCGTGCTGCGCCTGAAGGGGCGCAACATCGAGGAGAATCAGTACGTGAAGATGGGCGCCTACCACACCCTCGACCTCGAGCTGAACCGCAAGTTCGAGCTGCGCAAGCCCGAATGGGACACCATCGCCCTGGAGCGCATCGAGATGGCCTGCGATCCCACCCAGTCGGCCGACGTGGCCGCCGTGGTCATGCAGGAGGGGCTGGCCCATGTGTGCCTTATCACCGCCAGCATGACGCTGGTGCGCAGCAAGATAGAGGTATCCATACCCCGGAAGCGCAAAGGCAGCGTCCAGCAGCACGAGAAGGGTCTGGCCAAGTTCTACGAACAGGTGATGCAGAGCATCCTCCGTCACGTCAACTTCGATGTCGTCAAGTGCGTGCTGATCGCCTCGCCGGGCTTTGTGCGCGACCAGTTCCACGACTACATGTTCCAGCAGGCCGTCAAAATGGACTACAAGCTGTTGCTGGACAACAAGAGCAAGTTCATGCTGGTCCATGCCTCCTCCGGCTTCAAGCATTCGCTAAAGGGTGAGCAATCCCTTTCTTTTGAATGGTCTTGTGTAGTAATTTCCTATTCCAAATTGCAGAGGTTCTTCAGGAACCCGCTGTGGTGGCCAAAATTTCCGACACCAAGGCCGCTGGCGAGGTCAAGGCTTTGGAACAGTTCTACATGATGCTCCAGTGCGAACCGGCCAAAGCCTTCTACGGCAAGAAGCACGTCCTCCGCGCCTCCGAATCCCAGGCCATCGAGACGCTCCTCATCTCCGACAATCTGTTTAGGTGAGTCCCAGTCGTCCACACTCGTCGGATATCCCTCTCAAGGCCAATTCCAAGCGGAAGAATACAGGCACATCAAGCCCAATCAAGCGAAAAGATCACACAGAGAACCTTCAACTTTAGCCAATTGCCAGAGACAAGCGCGACGACAATTTATGTCCACACATGTGTAGAAATGTAGAAGGCTGGGCATCTGGCAGTGTTTCATGGGGATGTTTCATCAGGGAAATCAAAGGAAAAGAAATCAATCTCAATCTTGATTCTGAGTATTGGTGGAATAAGAAAAGCGAAAGCAAAAGCGAGAGAGTGCCATGGACTTCTGTGCACTGTCTGTTCTCCATATCGGCTCCCATCACGACTCCGTTTATGTTAGACGATTCTTGATCTTCCGCTGGCTGCGTAGATTGTAGATAGATTTTTACTCCATTCGCAGGTTTTATCCATTTAAAGAAAGCACGTCCCAGAGTAGCAATTTGTTGGCCCCATGCGACGTGCTCATGATCAAGGTTGCCCCGTGCCTCGCCTCGCCTTGCCTTGCGTCGTTCTCTGCCATTTTTGGCCGCCTGCTCTGGCTGTCCGCTTTGTGCCTCTCTTCGCACTGATCTCTCGCTTTTTTGTTTACCATTTTGCACGAATTTAATGGACCGTTCAAATTCCAGCAACGAAAGATCCATTCCGCTATTTCTAAGCACTAACTGCCTCGCAATTAAATTAAAATTAAGTGTTTATCGGGTTCTATTCTTCTTTACTTAACGCTTAATGTACTTAAAGTTCTAGGCAAAAAGGTGTGTTTATTGTAGCACTTTTAATCAGTCGGCTTTAAATTAGTTGCTCCCCCTACTGTACTCGTATTACCCCCTCGTGTACCATCCGTATCTTCATCAGAAATTGTTCAAATCGCAAGTCGACATCGTCGTCGTCGTCGCTGTGGTTGTGGCTGTGGCTGTGCCTGTGGCTGTGGCCGTCTCCCCTTTATCTCGACATTTTTGATTGCTGTTGATTGTTTCGCAATTGTGAAAACAATACAGAAAGACAGAGAGAGTGAATGGTTAGGTTAGATGTACAGGCGCTTTCCATTGAGATCGCATTTGATTTACCGCCTCCGTTGCTGTTCGTTCCACTGATTCTTGTGGTGCTTCTGTCGGGCCTGCAGGTCATCCTGGTCCTCCTCCTGCCTGATCAGCCGCTGGAAGTAGTCGTTGAGCGTCTCCCGCATGGGCAGCAGGCGGCTGGGCGATGCCGGAGGCATGCCACAGGCCTTTGGGAGCTTTCTTCGCATCTTCATGTGGGACTCGCATGGCCAGGGATAGCCCAGATCGGAGATGTTGTAGTCGGGCTGTCGGTTGAGCATCTCGGAGGGTGTTAAGTGGCCGGCACTTGAGTAGGAACTTGAGTGGAGATCGAGATACATGTATTTTGTTGAGTTTTAATGATGGCTGGTGCTAAAGTTGCTGCGGATTTGCGTTCATTTCGATGCCTAAGCCTTCCCTGTTCCCCTATCTCCTATACCATATCCGCCGCTGTTCACGGCCAGGCCCCAGTCCCCAGTCCCCTGAGCTCTCGATTTGCGTGTGCTCTGTTTTTGGGTTTTTGAGTATCGTCACTGTTTATAGAGCTGTTTTCGCCAGACGAGTTTTGTGATTTGCACACGCAAAAAACTGAACTAAACTTTGATGTAAATCTGATGTATACATATACACTGTGTATGTGTATCCATCATTGATCTCTTGAACCATTTCTCGCTTGGAGTAGCGCCAATAATTAGAGCCCAACATCAACATTCGTGGGCGACAGCTTGAGGGAACAGCAAAACAGCAAGAGACAAGAATTTTAATTTATTTAATCGCTCCGTTTATGGATCAGCACTTGGCGGGGACCACTTTTGAGGCGGCGAACACTCTCGCTCCCACTTCTGCTTTCCATCGGAATCGCGCTCAATGGTTTCCACACGACACACATGTAATATGATCCACATTTGTATAAGGTTCTGTTCTGCTGGTTCTGCTAGCTCTGCTAGTTCTGCATCCATTAACCGATTTCCCTCCCTCTCTCTGGGCATGTGTCCATCGACCACTAGTGGCTCTCTTGGTGTATGCATTTTATTATTACAATATTTATGTGTTCCAACCAGTTTTTCTAGTCCCTCTTTGTCTTGCAGCAACCTCGTGTCTTGTGCATCCAAAACGTGCCCCCCTTTTCGATTGCCGTTTCTGTGGGGCTGTTGTTGTCGCAGCTGGCGGCGCATTTAAATGTTGTCTTGAGAGACAATTGTATGTACTACATACTATATAGGGAAACAGACCCAACACGAGTATTGGGCAAGAAGTGAAAGGGCTTGTCTTGCCTGTATATATCGGCTATGGATACCCTTAATGGATTGAATGTATCACTGAATACGATACCCATGAATCACTGAATCATTCACTGAATCTTAGGGCCATTCCCCCAGCTCTGTTTCGAGCGTGTCGTATCTCTGGGGTTGGGTTTTGTTTGCTTAGCGGTTATTCGATTGGGCAATCAATGAGTTGTCACTTTTTCAGAAGATCACAAATCCGCGAGACATGCATAAAAATGTTTCACAAGTCGAGAAATCAAGAGAAAAAGAGCTGAGGTGCGATTATTCGAATGCTTTCACTGTATTCCCCATTTCTATTTTCTTTGTCAGCGTTTTTGGAGCGTATCGTATCACAAGGTTCGTGCAAGAGGCAGAGGCAGAGGCACAAGCAGAGGTTCAGTCAAGTTCAGTTGTTACTCCTCTCCCCCCTCCCCGCACTGGCTTAATTAGACATTTTTACGGGCATTTACTGATATTCGCACTTGTATTCGTATCTTGGGTCGCACATTCCCTCGCTTTTCCCCGTACTTTCTGGCTGGCCAAGTCATGGCTCTTTCGGCTAGACGTGGCGGGACCTCGTGAACGGGGCCGGGCCAGGGCTGGGGCTGGGACTGGCACTGGGACTGACGGTGCACGCTAATTCCATTATAACAATTGATTCCATTGTGCAATCATTGTCACGCAGTGGAAACAGCAACAATTATTGCATCTACATACAACAACGGCGCTCATCGCAGCTTGCGGTTAGCGGATGAGTAAAAAACAGATACAGATACAGGTAGCAGATATATGTATATAATTGTAGCTGCTGCACTGCTTCCCGCTGAGTCAACGGATGGAACCCTAAACTGCGTCTGTCAGTGCGGCATCTTCCTCCATGAACAACAATCCTCCAACTTTCACTCGTTCGGTTCCACACACCTTTTTTTTATGCGTGATTTGTGCCTTGTATTTCTGCTTTCGGCTGCAGTTTGCAGTGCGGATAGACGGATGGATGGATGGATGGATGGACGGACGGCTGGGAGACTCGTTTCTTTGGCAGCAGCAGCTGTAACGCAGGTCTTAGCACCAATTTTTCTTTACGCGTGGCAGTCTCCGACCCTCGTACACGTTCTTCGATACGTCCCCCAAGAAAGCCGCTTTGCAACTAATTCTTCAAGCGAAGACCGAGACGAGGCACTGCCGCTGGGGCCCGCAAGCAGCCCCACGAACAGCTCTCGCTCTCCCGCACTGCACGTGCTGTGGAACGTAAATGGCTTCCACATGAGTGAGAGGAGAGCCGGTCCCGCTGGTCTCCGATCGAATGAAATTCCGCTCTCCGAACCGCTCTGTCTCTCCTCTCTCTTTGCACACAGAAAGCGGTTTTAATTGAAATGGGATTGGGATTGGGATCGGAATTCTTTCGTTTCATTGTTCTTACTTTCGTACTCTCGTACGCATCACCTGTTAATGATAATGGTTAATGTTTGTCATTAACATATAAGTATTTCTCTGGGTTTCTTGAACTGCCAGACAGTTCCATTCCCCGTGCATTTGGATAGCCCCCGGTTCAGGGGGTCTCCCCTCCATTTTCAGTTAAACTTGACACCTTATCCATTCTGGATTCCTATGCCCGTCACGTGCCATAATCCAGCACTTTTCTAACGATCCATCCGATTGCGGAATGTCAAATGCAATAGATATGAATATCCATAAACGGATGATAGATTGAAGGCATTAAATAAAGCGATTCATACTTTAAAATATTTATCACACGATTTGCTTCTCTCTTTCCAATTTCAGATGTCAGGATGTTAATCTCAGGAAGGAGTATGTCTCCCTGGTGGAGTCCGTACGCGATGCTGGAGGCGAGGTGAAAATCTTCTCCAGCATGCACATCTCAGGAGAACGTGAGTACCATCCATGTAGAGAGGAACGAACCAATGACTCACTCACCAGCAGCAGCAGCAGAAGATGAAGAAACTTCTTCTATGATCAGATCAGAACTTTCTGGAGGGGGGAGCACTCCTTCTTTGTGTTGTCTTTCCATCCACACTTGTTCCCTCCTTCACTCACTTCTATGCTTTGCTCAATTTTAATATTCGTGTGCAGGGGCCTGGCCTCCCCCCGTCTAATGACCTCGTTAAATATTCTATTTTTAAATCCCCCACTGCACTGCCCCACGAGATGTTGTTGTTGTTTATGCGTTTGTGTGGATGTATTTCTTGGAGGGGTCTCCCGCATTACAAAGTCCATCCGTAGATCTGTAGAGCGGAATACATCATCATCATTCGATTGCATTGAAAGACTGCCAGAATGTTTGCCCCCTCCGGAAGGCACTTTCGATTTCAGTTTCAGTTGCATTTCAATTTGTATTCTATAAAGCATTAATTGCACATATTTTCGTGGTGTTAAATGCTTTAAATAGTCATTTCGCTCGACAAATGACTCACGTGGATGCGAATCAGTTCGTTTGGTTCCCTTTATCTTGGCAACACTTTCCGCTGCGACTCGGAAAATGGGTCGTTGCAGGTTCCGAAATAGATCCCATTCCCCCATGCCTCCATCCCCCATACATTGTAATTCTCGCATCTATCCACACTTGAGGGTATTTCTCAAGTACTTCCCATTCTGACGATATCTTCTGCTCGAGTGCTGAATGAGCAACTGTTTCCCGCTGCGGATTTTAATCAGCTTGGAATTACATAAACATTGTAGAGGAATTCAAGAGATAGCGACGGGGCCTGGCAACACAAAAATTAGTCAAGTAAACAAAGTATTATCTTGTGGAACCTGCATTAATTCAGCAACAATTGTGCACGCATAGAGAGAGAGAGAGAGAGAGAATATGCGCGAGAGAACCTTAGGCCAAGTTCAGAGATTGAGTCACAGCCGAGCCGACAACCGGTGAGCCTTGAAACGGATCCGCCCACGTCCCCAGGCAGGCCATTAAGTGCAAAAGTTGCAATGTCTATTGACTATGTCATGGGTCTAGTATGCAATTGACTTGAAATTCTAGTTCCCACCACCTTAGAGATCTTCTTTGGAACTCACTTACCAATCTATGAGCACCTCTACATCTTTCTTTCTTCTTCTCCACAGAATTGGCTCAACTAACCGGGGTGGCGGCTCTATTGCGTTTCCCTATGCCCGAACTGGAGGACAGCGACGATGACGATGATGAGGATGGTGCCGCAGGCGGAGATGATAGCGATAGCGACTAGGAGGAAGATAGAGAGAGAGGATAGAGTAGAGTTAAATGGAATGAAATGGAAGCTGGCGAGGAGTTTAGGCATTTGTTGAACGAAAAATTGACTTAGGACTTAACTAGCGATCGATTATACACGTAGATTAATATGTATGTACTACAGACAGACTGCGGACTGCGTCAGGGCTTATACAATATACAATATACTACTATATATACATAAGATACGAATACGATACGGATATACTTATACACAAACTATTGCCTAAGTTTTTATCCCCCACCCCGTGGTTGGGCCTAGAGATTCGATTGGGTTCTGTTCTGGAAGGAGAATGAAGGAAACCGTGCCCCCACTTAATACTATTGCTAACAGATTGCTATTGATTGATTTCAAAACTAATTACGAGTTGCTGTTGACAATTGTTGTACAATATTTTAAACAAATTTTAAGTTTTAGCTCAGTTTTTCGCCCCCGCATGTAAATTAATTGTTCATAATTTTGTAAAGCGCAAAATAAAAATTATATATACATGAAAATACAGAGGATCTGATGGATTTTGATTGACATTATCATTTTTTATTGTTTTATACCTAGATCAAGACTCGAACACAGCTCCCACCGCCTCACTTCACCAGCTTGGCGGCCCGGGCGGCTGCCTCGGCCGCCAGCTTGCGGGCCTCTCGCTTCGCCGCCTTTTTGGCCTCCTTGGTGTCGGCGTCGATGTTCCGGCGCTTCTTGCGCAGCAGCCACTCCTCCTTCTCCTTGGTCTGCTTCTCGCGGATCAGCTTGCGGAAGAGGTTGCGGTGGCGCGGCTTGACCATGCGCGCCTGCAGGCGGTGCTCGTCCACCTCGGCCTTGTGCACCTGCCGCTTGTTCACTTTGTGCACTTTGCCCGACTGCACGGACATCTTTTCCTTCTCCTGCTGCTTGCGCTTGGTCTGCTCATCGACATCCTCCTTATCAACGTCTTCCTCGTCATCGTCTTCTTCATCATCCTCTTCGCTGAGGTCTTCTTCGTCTTCGTTGACACCATCGGGGCCGCCGTACTTCTTGTACTCGGCCGTCTCCTGCTGATAGGCCAGCTGCAGCTGGGCATCGAGCAGTTCCTGGTCAGCCTCCTCCTCCTCTTTCTCGGCTTCGTCCTCTTCGGACTCTTCCTCACTTTGTTCTAAAGAAAGATGTAATTTATAAGACATATTTGAGATCAAGGAGAATCCGGACAACTTACCATGAGTTTCGATTAATGAGGGATCGTGGAGGGCCTTCTCCTCGGGCGGTATGTACGAGTCGCGCTTGGAGTCGACGAATGGCGAGAGATGGGGTGGAAGAGTCTCGCCGAGGAAGTAGTCGTTGGTGGGCAGCAACTGGCGCTGGTTGACGCAGTCAAAGAGCCACTGGGGCTGAATGTAGTCCCTGGAGATGTACTGTGTGCTCAGGCTGGGTCTGTCCACGATCTGGTGGGTGATGGTCTCGTCGTTCTCGGCGAAGGTGGCACCGGGGAAGACAGACGCGTCCCAGGAGACCTTGCCGCCAAAGGAGCGAATGAGGATGACGAGGGGCTCGCGGGGAACCTCGCGATTGATGAAGAACTTTAGACCCTTGAAGAGGGTGCGCAGGCGCGACACCTCTTGGGCCTCCTGCTTCATTTTGATGATGCGCTTCGAGTCGCCGTCCTGCTCCAGCAGCTCCATGTCAATGTCGGGCTCCTCCTCGTCCTCCTGCACCTTGTCTGTGCGCAGCAGCTCAAAGTTCAGGGCGGCAATGCGGTCGGACACGAAACTGGCTTCGTCCTTGAACGTATCCTCATTGTCTTGCAGCAGGCTGGAGGGGAACTGAGGCGGATAGGCCAGGTTGAGGCCGTGGAAAAGACGGAAGTTGGTAAAGCCCTGCAGGATCGTGTAGAACTCCACGAAAATGGACATGACCTTAAAGTCAACCTCCTGGCGCGACTGCGGCTTGAAGGGGTAGTAGTGAGGCATGATCCAGGTGACCTTCTGGCCCTTGATCTCGGCCTGGAAGTAGTAGCCCTTGATGGAGATGAATACCTTGCGCAGCGACTTGGAGGCGATCACATAGTGCAGGAACTCGATGGTCAGTCGCCGGCACAGGTTCGACTGCTCGCGAGGAATCAGATGCAGCGAGGGGAACGTGCTGAACAGAAAGAGCAGGGTCAGGCAATCGTCCAGGTCCTTGAGGGCGTCTATGAAGGTCGGATAGCGCTCCTTGACAATGTGATCGAGCTTGATTTCGGGGAACAGGGCCAATCTGCGCTTCAGGTTGCGAAAATCTTTGATGGCGCGGTCGCGGCTGGTTTTCTTGGCAAAGATCTAAAAGAGGGGAACCATTCAAGAGGACGTTACAGACGCCATTCTTCATTCCACTTACCTTGTAATCACGCAGCGTCCACACAATGGACTCGTGCAGCAGGAACCGAATGTCCTTGGTGTGGTACAGGATCTTGATCTCCGAGGAACCCTTCTGGGCGCGACGCCTGTGCTTCGGCTCGCGCGGATAGACACCCTTGAGGATGCACAGACGGCGGAAGTCGTTCAGCGACAGCTGGAGCTTCCGAATCGCCGCCCGACGACTGATGTACTGGGTGGCCTCTCCGGCTTCGTACTGCGTAGGACAAGATCGAGTTATTTACATGCTGCATGAAGGTGCTCCAACCACATAACCTCACAGCGGTGTCTGAAATGGTGCGATTGATCTTCCACTTACCTTCTTCGGACGTCTCATTGTGGATTGTTGGCAAAAAGCCCTTTTTGTCTGGTAAAATAAGTTTTATACAGACAAAACACACGTTTTTTATGTTTTCGGTCGCGTTTAGTTGTTGGTTGGAATATAATCAAAATTAAACCTCTCGGCTTGCAGCTTCACTGAGGCGCAAATAGGCGGCGGAGACAGTAAAAATAGTAAAATTTATAACAACTTTAATAAAAACGCTTGAAAACACGTGCACGTGGTATCGATACCGATAACCTAAATATATACCGATATACCAAAATATACCGTCTCACTTTGAAAATATACTGACGAATTATCCAAGTTCCATCCATATTCCTCGTTTTTGATATTCCGTGGAATATTACTAGCTAGATAGAACATTTAGCCATGCCACCATAATTTTATCCGATTAGTGAATTCATTTTCTATTTGACCCGCCTCTTCTATATACTTGCTTTTATTGGATTTCTATATACCGTTTAAAATGAGATTTAAAAAATGTATTAAAAATATCAGAAATGGTCAGCCTGCAAATAATGGCTATATATATTATCGATAATACCGATACCTCAGAAATATACCAAAACATTTTCAAAATATCCCGTGTATATACTATCCAAGTTTTCTACTTGACTGGCTTATATTAAATACTTGCTTTTATTAGATTTTGTGACAAACTTTTCCCCAGGGTATGCATAATGTTGCCCATGTCGCGGGACACATGACTCTGGCCCATACAAATTTAATGTTGCCACCCTGTAATGGACGTTTTACAGCACCCAACTTATGCAGCGCTGCCACCTTATCGATAACAAGTGATTTGGGTAAGCGGGAAATTTGAAAAGTGAAGACGCCATGTGCTGCATTTGGATAACTCATTTTATTGAATCTGTTTTTATTGTTTTTTTTATAGGTATTGTATTGAGAAAATAACATACAGTCTAAGTTTGTTGTATTATATAATATTCGTTATATATTAGTTAGTTTGAACATTAACTTCGTTTTGGTTTTCGCAACATGCTTTACTGCAATCAACTGCAATTTACGACTGGTTGCATTTTTAATAACAAAAGTTTATTAAACGGTCATTTCTTTTCGGTATTTGCTTCTTTCTTTCGTTTCTTTATTCGTTTGCTGCGGCTCTGCTACAACTCTGGCGACGTAACGGCGCATTCACACCGTTACAGACGTTCGTGTGTCCGTGTTAGTGTTTGTGTGTTGTGTGTGTGTTGGTGTCTGCAATGTAAATGCATCTGTGTATCTGCTCCTCGTTCTGTATCTGTATCTTTATCGTTATCTTTATCTGCATCTGTATCTGAGTGTGATTTGTTGTATATTTCACCTAAATAACTAGTTAACATTTGGTTTTTATTTGCTATAGCTTCGTTTTGATTTACATAAGTGTCGTTCCGTGCCGTTCCATTCCGATCAGATCCGAATCGCTCCAATCGGCTTTAGGCTTCACTCTTCCTTTCGTCTGCTCCCGATTCCCGATCCTTTAAAATGCTTTTATATAACTTTATATAATTCTTGTTTCATATATTGTATATTTTTTGAGTGCCAGCCATACTATATATGTTTGCATGTATCGTTTAGAAATTGACTATATATTTGATTTGCTTTACTCCTTTTGCTCCTGAACTTCTTTTCGTTTTGATGATCTCTCAACCCATGGGTTCCGAATGGGTTTTGGTTCGCGGTTTTGGGGGAGGGTGCGGGAATGAGGCGTGTTTCGGTGTGGCAATGTGTGTGTGTGTTCGTGTGTGTGTTTTGTACAAAATCTAAATGTCGTTAACCAGACGTACTTGTATAAAGTAAATAACTCGCTGTATTTCATTATATATTCATCATTCGAATGTTTGTAAGGCCGAAGACGGTATGGGGCCCGAGGCGTTGGAGTCCTCCGATGACTAACAGCAACATAGGGGGGTTGGAATATATAGTGTTCTTCGATCTGAACATAACTGAAGCCCGACTTCTGTGTTTGTTCGCCTTTTTCGTGGTTTGTCGTTATTATGTATATAAATCATTTGTACAATCTTATGTGCTAGAAGCGTATCAGTTATTAAAATTAATGTCTGTTATTATAATACTCTCATTGTTCACTATTAAAATTACTCGACTCTCTCTCTCTTTTTCTCTCCCTCTGTACTAATTACATGCTCATCTTCAACACTC